TAAGAAGTATTCAAGGTTTGTTGCGCCAATGGAAGCCTCTACATTTCCTTTTGGTTGCAATTTCTTTGAATGGAAGCACACTGAAGGTCCGACTGCGCTGTTTTTACCTACTAGGTACTTGTTCTTGTGCGACTTGAGATTCAGAGTTTTTCGAGTTTTTAGAGTTTTAACTTGTTTCCTTACTGACGTAGTCTGACGTAGCGGCTGGATCGTTTTGGTCGAATCCAACTCCCAGGCTCGGACATGATGCCGGTACTCCGGAGTTGCTCCTCATGGGCAGCAAGAAATTCCATGCGTTTCTTTGCCAAATATCTTTCCAACTGCGCAAAAGGAGTATAAACATGTATAATAAAACTATATAAAACTAGTATAATCAACTGGAAGGTTTCTTTAGAACCTGCTGCAAAATCCCAAACAGACCTAACAACAAAAAGCACTGCATTTTTTGGTTTTGGCTCTTGAACTAGTTGCCTAAAGCACTGTCGCGACGCACCTTTGTAAAAGCCATAGAGCCTTACAAGGAGCATCTATTGGGAAGCCACAGAGAAGCCACAAGTCAACTTGGCATGGCATTCAAAGACCTTTGAAGATCCGTGACTCGAAGTGAGTTGAGGTGACTTGGTTCAGAGCGATGCTTCAATCTCCGATGCCACTGTGCTCAATGGCCTCTGTGAAGACATCGGAGATTGTTACAACCGCGGAGTCAGAAGATGTGAAATAGATTGATACAGTATGTATATGTCTATATATATATATGGGTGCTTTACTTTTTCTAATGATGTGTGCTGCTCCATGTGTCTCAAAGTGCATTTGGCAAGTAGGCCACCAAAGTGGATCGAAATCCCAAACATGCATGACGCGATCCAAACAACAAGCTGTGGGCCTCAAACATAAGACTAGACACAGGTCTGGCAAAAGACGTCAAAAACAGTACAGGTTCAAGCTGAATCCGATGTTCTGCATTGTTATCATTGTTTAAATTTTAAACCACCGAATTCTGCCAATTTTATAACTGCAAAAAGGGCCCTTTTGCATGCTGAACATTTATTTACCTCAGCGCAGCAGTTTTGGAAACTTAGACTCTGACAAGGACTTCTTGAGGATTTCCGCGTCAGCACCTGATATTGCAAGTGAGTATTCCCCGAGCATTCCCAAACTTCGGAAGAGAGAGTTGCAATCGAATGACAAACATTTATACATGGGTCGAATAAACCCAGATCTGCAGTAGATGTTGAAAGGGTGCAGAAACTTGGAACACGAGAACGCGAAGCTGTTGAGCTCTCGACCCTCCAAGCCTTGCTTAATCATCTCCAGCACCTTCACCTCAAGGATTAAACGTTTATACAGTGTTTATACTTAAATATGACATGAATATTACATAACTAACGATAACTAACGATAATTAGAAGATACAGTGGTGATAGTGGTGAATGCTGAGTGGTGCTCAGTAAGTGGTTCGCTGGTGGTGTCCAGTGCACTGAGCAGATCTGAGCAGCAGACTCTCGTAGCTTTGTTCTGAGGCGTGTCTGAACTGGCAGGTTTTGCTTGTTTTTGCCATCTCCTGGTCAAAATATGTCAAAATTATCAAATTTGATGTGCCAAAAAGCCTTGCTGGTCAATGTTCACTAGCAAACTCACAATGCATCATTGTTGTATGACTGTTGTGTCACATACTGCGTCTGTTATCCTAAGTCGTGACTCTTCAACACACGTCCGAAATTCCTGAGGGAAAGTCAAGCAGGAATTCCTTGCCTGCTCAGAGTAGTGCAAGGTCCCCTAAGATCAGCTGCTCTAGCTGTCTTTTCACGGCCACACCAACCTGTGCAGCTCTGCAGCCGTGGTCAGGAAGGACCAGGTCACATTCGTCGCATGGTCACACTCTCCCACAGGTGCAAAGGTCGGTTGCATCTCTCACTGGATTTGAATGAGGCTAGGCATACGACGGTGAAGACGATCAAATGGTTTTCCCAAGATTTGTCTGTGCTCCCACCTGGCACGGATGAATCATGTGAGCCATAGCATGGTCTCATTGTTTATATGTTATCATTTGATCATGTTTTCACGTTTTCCAAGTATCCTGTTTTCATTCTGGTTGTCTGGTCTCCAGGCTCAGGTCTCATAACGGTTGCACAAGTGCAGAACCAGACTGCAAACGCCAATTTTAAAATAAGATGGACTGGGCATCCAACATGATGGCCCGGCCAACGGACAAGTTCAGCAGACAGGCTAGGCCTCAAAATCGCAAGATAGAACATTACCGGATGTACCTCACAAAAATGGCTAATTTTGAGGTGCGGAAGCCAATCTACCCTTCAACACCTACAGATTGATAGCCTGACATAGGATCGCCATTCAAGCAAGGGAAATGACCAACTTAAGGATTCATGATTCATTCGGACGTCTGAGGGGATCTGGGGAGGACAAACGCCATTGAGGAGGTACACAATGAACCGACATGAAACCTGGACGCTGGATTGTGGAGGCTGGCGGAGAGGGCCTCGAAACTACATGGCACGAGTATAACAACTGTGTTGCAATTGCAGCACTATCAAAGTGATATCACATTATCTATCACGTGATATCACATCTTAGCACACGGGCTGTGGCTAGTGCCATAGATGCCATAGATTAATCATAGATTGATCCCGTGTTGACCCCGTTGACCCTGTTGCCGTTGACCCCAAATTGATCGAAATCGGGTCTTGGATCCCCAGCAGGCCATGCATCTCATGGTGGCCTCATGACGTTCACCATCGGGCCCTTCCTGGCAAGGCGAGGCGAGAGCAGAATTCAACATGACAATAATAGCAATGTTATAAGATAATTCATGGACTCAATATAATATACATAATATGTATATACATATCATATATATCATATATATCATATGTATATATATATACACCATATTTACATATATATATGTGAACAATTTTATCCTTGTTCTGGATGTTATCTCAATCAGGAAGTACCCTTGTTACCGGTAGCCGAAAATGTCCATGCGGAGTCACGCGGCGCAGCCCTTTTCTTCATACGCTTGAGCCATTGTTTGGCGGTCACAGCATGTTGTCTAAACAGTGCATGCTGTACATGTTGTGTCATCTCGTTCCCTTTAACACCCCCCATGCCTACGGCGTCTTCGAACCGTAGGCACGAGAGTGGGAACTTTGAATTAGATTCTCTGTTATGCACGAATTACGCCTTTGTACACGCAACTCCATTCAGCTTCCCCTTCACCCACACCCGACGGGCGTAGCGGATCCGGGGTCGCCTGCTCTCTGGCATGCAATGCATCAGCGTATGTTCGAGCTGTACAACGCGAATTATCACTAGCTTGCAGCTACTCTATGATTACGGCTTCGCAAGTCACTCCATCGACGACGGAAGTAGACTGCTCCACCAAGAATAGCAATTGGCGCTAACTAGTGAATTCACGTGCACATTGCTAAAAGAAAATCGTGCAGATTGGGAATAATGACAATCTTGGACCTAAGCGAATTAGTCTACTGCCTCGCTCAGAGTCCACTCAGTTGGTCTTTTCCTGATCATCTGTTCACAAAGACGATACACATCTTATAGTCCAGTGATCATTTGGATGGACAGAGGTAGTTAGTTTACTGCTCACGGCGGACTTTCTTCCACTGAGGTGTCGTTGGAGATTTCTCCCAACCTGCCGCACGTTTCGGAGCAGCTTTCGGCGATGGAGGCTTGGCAGGTGGTGCTTTAGATGGTTCATAGGGTTTCGGCATGGCCTTAGCCTTTGGTGCACTGGCCGAAGATGATGACGCTGAACCAGTATCTTCAGGTCTCCGTGAAGGCTGTGCTGATGACCTGGCTTTCGCGTCTGCAGTGGCACGCTTGGCGGCGGCACTGTCCCCGACTGCTTTGAATACCTCACTTACCACTTCGTCCCCCAGGTTCGGAGCCATCTTCATTTTCATTTCGGACTTTCCCCTCATCGCCTCGGCCTCAGCGAGTTGAATGGCGTAAGCCATCTTGCTGACAAAGTTGCGAGGCAATGGAATACCGCATTGTTGGGCAGCAAAGAGCAGTTCCACCCTTTGTTCCTTTTCTCTCAGACTCAGATATACCGAGAAAGCTGGGAGCTCAATGCAGTTGGGGAAGCCGTGGCTCCCGGAACGGAAGAAGGTGTATGATTCATATTCGGGAAAAGTTCCCTTCATCAATCGTCGGAGAAAGTTGCTGATGGTCACCCTCATCTCTTGTTTCTCCTTTGCATCACCCTGCATCTTATTCATTGGCATGAGGAAACCTAAGGACTCGGGAGTGTACCCGGCACATACGAGAAACTCATCATCTTTTCGTAAACCTCTAGAGTTTTGATGACAGGCATCATCATGTTTCTCGGTCGCCCAGAGTACATCTTTTCTCCCTCTGACCATGAGTTCTTCTTTCCTTTCTACTGAAAGAGTTCGTCCAATTCCTGCTCAGTCGGCCGCTTGAGGTTGCCATCCTGATCTTCGCCTGTGTAAGGGCAGAAGTCGTCCAGGTCCAGCCGGACTCGCTTGGTGGCTGTCATCAACGCATAGTATTCCTCTGGGGTCAGAGTGACTCTCTGATTGTAGTAGAGTCTGAACATTGCAATGATCTTTGACATCACGGCGTTGTCATACAAGTGAGCCGCGGCCTCGGAGACATCATTGTTGACAAGTCCGTCTCCTGGCAAACCCTTGCTTCCACGCGCAAGATTCTTGGTCCATGCTGGCAGGTTGGATGAAGGTTCATCCTCAGGTTCGACGTCCATTTCATCATCGTCTTCCTCTTCAACGATCTCATCGTCTTCCTGCTGAGTCTCTTCTTCCTGATCCATTTCCTCGTCATCGCCTTCGTTGTAGTCGACCTCGTCAGGATTGAAGCCATAATCGTTGGATTCGGGTACGTTTTCCTGTGCTTGATGGACCGTATCCTTGAACAACGATTCTTCCTGTCGACGAACCTCCTCATCGAGCTCTTTCTTTGTGGCTTCATCTTCATCGTCTTCAGGAGCTTGTAGTCTATATGGTCGAATTCCACAGCTCTCAAGCTCTGTCCAGCAAACTAGACATACTGCCAACTTCGTCGGCGTCTCATTGAGGCAATGAGGGCAATGACGGCAACCTGAAGTTTGCACCCTCTTGCGTTCGACGATGTAGTCGATCAGCTTGATGCGGGCGAGGTATTGTTCTTGTCCGCCAGGCTCAATGAGATTGTTCCTGAATTGGTTGACGATGTTCATTGCATCCATGGTGATCTCGTCATACGGTTGCTCTTCGGCGTCGATGCATTGACTTGCGACCCTCAGAATGGACTCCTTGGTGGCGACAGTTCTTGACTTGACCGTGCCTGACCGGACTACCTGGTCGTCGCCCGACGGGACGAACAACCGGAGCCATGTCTTATTGTTTTGATCCTTAGGATCCTGAATCCATCCTCCTTTGATCGCTGAGAACGGGATGATCTTTGGTGAAACGATCTGTCCCGAATCCGTCAATCGACCACCGTACTCCACCATCAGGGTCTCGGTCGGGATGAAGAGGCAGATGTAGTCCCCCTTTCGCGTATCAACGCTCTTCGTGATGGTCCATGATCTGTGATCCCATGGCACATATGGGTTGAAGAACGTAAACATACGATGACCTTCTCCAAGACCTCCCGGAATTAGTCCTTGCCTCCAAATGCTTCGGAGGTTGGTCTTCTTCATGATGTGGAAGCAAACCGGCAGTGACATGATGGTATTGGGCGCAATCGGATGCGAGAGCAACGATGACATCAACAAGACATCATCTCTGGAGGATCCTTCCTTGTGCCCCGTTGGAGCGCGAACTGCAACTGGATAGAGCAATAGCCCTTCGTCAGGGATGTGCGTGTCCGCGTTGACCTTGTTGTCAATGCATGTCAGGCTGCTGCGATCAATGTCCTTGTTGATCCCGAACGCCAAGACTTGTTCACGTACACGACGTCCATATCGGGCACAGTGGAACATGATCTTGAACAGCAATGCCATGCGATTGCTCGCCTCTTTGACATTCCATGCACTTTGATCGTTTGCTCTTCCTTTGGGGGCGAGGAAAACATGCGGCCAACGTTGGTACTCATGTCTCCAAATTGACTCACATTTGAGTACTTCCTCAATGGGCACCCAGCCGGCGTCGTCACAAAACAAACTTTGTGATTCTGAGGCCTTTCCCACGTTGTGTCGTAGGATCCTGTTCAGTGAGGTGCTCACCTTGTCCTCATAGCTGTCGAGCCGATTACCGGTTTCGAAGCGATAGTTTGCCGCATACTCCACACCGCCAAAGTAGAAGCAGTTGAAGAAGTGGGCTCCCGTTGTGGGGATGATTTTCAAGAAACCATCTTGCGGCGCTTCGATCCGTTTGTAGAAGGGTTTTCTGATGTTGTTGTCGGAGTAATTTGCGAGGAACTCTGGTACTGACCAAGTGTCACCTCCTCCTCTGACAATAGCGTCCCGGATCACTTCGTTGAGATCAACGACATTCTGGGGTCCCAGCTTGGTAACATCACGCCCTTCAATGCAAAACCTGCCATACTCATCGAGGTCTCCAACTTCGGACATAGTCCTGATGCTGTCGTACCACTGGTACTCACTAAACCTCGGTTTCGTAGGCTCGTCCGTTTGCCCTGACCCTTCAGTAGCACCTGATCCGTCCTTTCTGTGCTCAGGCGGTTCCATCTCGACGTCATCAGATGTGGGACTATCAGCCTCGAGCGACGCTCGGACGGCCTTTAGCACCTTTCTGACTTCATCCTTCTTCTCATGTTCACATTCGAGATGACCATGTTTGGTGCTACCACAGTACAAGCACACATTGACATCTTCAGAGACGGTGAAGAGTTTTCCCAACGCATCCAGGAGTTGTTGTTTTCCGGAAATCTCTGAGTCCCTAACCACTTCAGTAGGGTCGTTTGCTGGCTCATCAGCTTCCTCCTCCCCAGGGTGAGTCGGCGACTCGTCACCTGGCTTGGCATCAGCATCAGCGCCCATGCTGGCGTCATCCCCTGTGATATGGTGCTTCCTTCGATACTGAGAGAAGACCTGATCTTTCTCCCACTCCGTGAGACAGTTGAAGTTGATCAACGACTCATACCCGGGGATTGCGTGGATGATCTTCATGACCTTTTAGGCCTCTGCAGTCTGCAGGGTGCAGTCGAAAGATCCTCGTCTCTTGTCGTTGATGGTGCTTGTAGTTCTGGAGGTTGATGTGAATTGAGCCAATGCCTTCTCCAAGCCGTTGAGGTACTCGGCAGGATCAACGCTGGCATTGAAAACATTCACAACTCCTTTTGCCATGTTTGCCACATCCAAGATACCAAGCCAAAACTCGATGATATCCCCAGTCTTCTCGGCTGATGCACGGGAGAATCCGAAGATTTCGTTCCTTTCCTTCACCTCAGGAACAGCGACCTTCTCGAAGAAGTCCTTGTACGCGACATTTCCGCAATCTTTCGTGACCCTGTAGACCAGGAGCCACTTCTTCGCGACTTCATCATAGATTCTTTCGCGGTAGATGCTGAATTGTTTGCCGCGTCCATTCCGGAAGATTTCCAGAGCCTGTCTCTTCGATACCCTGACTCCCCCCATGTGCGAAAGAGACTTCATCAAGTGCTCCCCGTACGGCAATAAGGCATTTGAAATCAAAGAAGATGCCGTGAATGTAAGCCATGTCTGAAATCCTTGATTGATGTCAACAATGTCGATGCCAAGATCCTCAAATGCGACCTTTAATCTGGCCGCCAGGAGCAAGA